GTTCTTAAATTTAAACAGATGAGGACAAGGTTCTTTGCTATCATAGAATGTGACCCAAAGACATTTTACAATATTCTAGAAAATGGTATATTGTGCATGAATTTAACAATATGTTCTGTTTATGAGCACATCAATGTATTGAGGTGCTATAATTGCAGTGGCTACAACCATACGGCCAATAAATGTAACATTGACATGTTCTGTATGAAATGCGGAGAGAAGGGTCATAAAGCTGATACATGTTTAAACTCTAAAGTGTCTTGCCCGAATTGTCTGGAATTTAACAAAAAATTTAAGTTGAGCCTTAGTATTGATCACTCTGCTTTCGATAAAATTAATTGTTCAGTCATGAGCAAGGAGATTGAAACAGCCAGGAACAACATCAACTATTCTATATAGCAATCAGGACGCAATTTAAAAGTTACGCCAAATAATACCATTCCAGTTAACTGCGGAGGCTTGACAAAACAGAACAATAGATTAAATGTATCCCATGTCAATGTTAGGTCACTAATCTCAAGCTTCGATATGTTAGCAGACACCATACTAGAACAAGATTTCCACATCATAGCGTTAACTAAGACTTGGCTTTCTTCAGACTTCCCCTCTGATTTGATTTCTCTGCCTAACTACCAGCTTATAAGAAACGATAGAGAAGGAAGAAGTGGTGGTGTATGTTTTTACATCCAGTCTAGCATAAAGTACAGAGTTATAGATCTTCGGAATATTCCTTCAAATGGCATTGAACATCTTTGGTTGTCACTAAAATTCAAGAGCAAGAGTATTGCAGTAGGTGTTATCTACCGACCACCGTCCAGTCGACTGAACATTCTATCTGATTTGGAAAATATCCTTGCCTTCATATACGTCACACATGATGAAGCAATACTATTGGGCGATATCAACATCGACCTCACCGATGAGCATGCTGGTCAAAGCAAATAATTTTTGCAAATGATATCTCTATTCAACATGAACCGCGTAATTAATGAACCAACAAGAATAACAGCAAATACAGCAACAATGATCGATATCATTTTTACAACAAATACACTCACTGTTTACGAGTGTGGAACTCTAGACATGCCAGAAGTCACTGATCACAGATTGTGCTTCTGTAAGTTGCAAATTGAAACTCCGGAATACACACCTGCAACATTATACTACAGAGATTTCTCGCATTTCGATCACGTTGAGTTTGCCAACGATGCTGCTTATGTGGAATGGAGCTACATAGATGGTTGGCCAAGTCTTGATGACAAAGTTCTTCACATTACCGAAACTATTATTATGCTCTACAATATACATGCCCCATTGAAAAGAATTACTTCACGTAAGAACTACAGACCTTATGTGACACATACAATCAAGTGTATAATAAATTTGAAGCGGAAAGCATACAACAAGTTCAGAAGAACCAGAAATGAAGAACATCGTGCATATTGTAATTATCTAAGAAATTATTTTGGAATAGCTTTGAAGAACGAAAAAACTGCTTACATAAAATTCCAGCTTAATAAGTATTATAATAATCCTAAACAGATGTGGAATAATTTCTCCAGGTAGAATATACACACAAAATCCAGTAAACACATATCACAGGACATTGAAAACGCTGAAAGCATCAATAATCACTTTATTAACTCTGTACCAAACCTGCAGCCAGATGACTTATTTCTTAACACATTCTCATATCTAAAAAAATCCTATAGTATAGTCTTCATTTAATCATGTTACATCAGACCAAGTTGAACTAAAACTGAAAGAAGTCAAGTCAAATGCTGCTGGTGTTGATGGTATCACTACAAACATGTTGAGAAACGTGTTCTCTTTTTGTAAATATCAGTTAACCAGTATCATCAACCAATCGCTGAGTACAGGGGAAGTGCCATCATTATGGAAAAAAGCAGTCATAACACCACTTGCAAAAGTTAATAATGCCATCGATTTTAAGGACCTCAGACCAATAAGTGCTTTACCTTCAATGTCCAAGCTGTTAGAGAAAATTGTAGATGATGAACTTCGGGAGCATCTAGAAATCAACAAAGTGTTGCCTGACACCCAGTCTGGGTTTAGGAAATTACATAATCGCCCTCATTAAAATTTCCAGTGATATAGTGAAATTTATAGACGATGGCATGATAACGCTACTAGTCATGCTAGACTTCAGCAAGGCATTTGACATGGTAAATCACAGAGTTTTGTGTGAAAAACTGCACCATTATGATTTGACCGGAAATGCCATGCTGTGGTTTAGTAATTACTTGTTTGATAGATCTTAATGTGTAAAATTGCGTGGTAAAGTGTCTACTTTACGAGCTTTGAAGTCTGGTGTTCCACAAGGCCGCGTTTTAGGCCCTATTTTATTTACTTATTATACCTCAGATCTGAAAAAACATATATCATCTGACTGGAATGTACATTTGTATGCGGATGATGTACAAGTTTACAAACCATGTCAACCAACCGATGTAAATTCTTTAATATTAGAACTTAATAAAAATTTAGACATAATTGAACAGTACTCAACAAATCATTGTTTGAAGCTCAATCCCTTGAAAACCAAATTATGTTGTGTTGGTTCTAGACTAGCGATTCTGAAGTGTAAACAAGTAATAAATACGAACATATTTTTAGAAGGAATTAACATTGAATTTGTTGAAGAAACAAAAAATTTGGGAATAGTACTTGATAAGAATTTACGTTTTGAAAGTCACATTATAAATAAGCTCAGAATATGTTATTATAAATACAAATCGCTATGGAGATATAAGTATATATTAACAAGTGATATCAAACTAAAACTTGTTAATGCATTAATCCTCACACATTTAGATTATTGTAGTACTGTATATTTTATCACTGAGGAAATGCAACAGAAAATTCAAGTTTTACAAAACCATTGTATGAGGTTTTGTTTCAATGAGATAAACAGACGCGAACACATTACTGGGTATTATGTAAGGGAAAATCTTTTAAAGTTCAAATATCGCTCGTTACTTCTCTATGCTGTTCTACTATTTAGGGTTTTAAAATATAAATCTCCGGAATATCTTTTTGACACATTAGAGAAAAGATCTTCACTCCATCCGTTCCTCCGTAATGAATATTGTTATAATATATCAGCCCACACTACCTCAAAATTTAAAAAATGTTTCTATTACATAGCTCCCAGTATACTAAATGATTACCCAATTTTCTTTAAATTAACGTCCATTCAAAAGAGAATTCAAAAGAATGCTATTACAGTTACAATTTAATGAATCTACAAGCGGCTGAATAAATCTCATTATTAATCTTATTATATTTTAAAGTTTTGTTAGCATAATTATAGTCAACTACATATCCTTTACGTAATGTATATGATATACCCTAGTAAGATATAGTAATGCACTTATTGAATTTACCTTAGCTATTCAGGCGGGGGTGAAAAATGGCTATGCCAATCCCGAGCCTTTTGGAGTATTATTTTTTTTGTGTTATATTATTTGCTCGTATTTTGATTCTATTATGTATTAATACTCCAATAAACACTATTATTATTATTATTATTATTATTATTATTATTTGTATTTGATTGCGATTTCAATTATTGTGACCTAAAAATGGCGGTTGTTGTTAACACTCCGTCCAAATATAATCAGCGTGCCGTCATTCAATTTTTGTTGTGCTGAATGTTTGCAACCTTTGCGAATTCATACGCGAATGTAGTGTATGAAAATTTTAGAGTGGAAGAGAGGAGACGAATAACAAGTCGCGGCCAGTTGCATTGATTACTGCATCAACAGACAGGAATGTGGCATGTCTGGAACGCATGCTTAAAGAAAATCGTCGAATTTCAATACGAGCAATTTCAGAAAATGTTGGCGTGAGTATAGTATCGAACACAAATTGGGGTACAGGGAGGTTTGTGCGCAATGGGACCATCTTTGCAATATCTCATGGAATACAAGCAAAACGGTAATGACATTGTCAATAATTGCTGGCGACGAATCTTGGTTTCATTATTTTTAACCATCCAGTAAGTTGTCATCGATACAATGGAAACACGCAAATTCTCCCCACCAAAGAAGTTCAAAGTACAACCTTCTGCAGGCAAGGTCATGTTAACATTTTTTCAACTATAAAGGACCCTTGCTCATAGAGTTTAAAGAATCTAGAGTCCAAATCAACACAAACCTGTATAATGAAACATTGAACAATATCCATCAAGCAATAAGACGAAAACGTCCAGGGAAGGTGTCATGCTTCTGCACGACAATGCTCGGCCTCATGTTGTCAGAGTAATGACTTTCGATACTGGTCATTGCTTAGGTAAGAATAGTACCTTTTATTGTTTAGATATTAATGTTTGACCTCGAATATTTCGAAAACTATGACGACTACGTCAAAGTATGTTTAATAAAAAGTATTCAGAATTTCTCGCAGAATACAAATATCGAATAAAATGTAAGACATATATCCGTTGTGTTCACAGTATCAGTACTCAAGCAAAATTTCTATAAACTTCACTTGAAAAGTGATAAGGTTCCAGATAGAAATATTCAATTTCCTCCTATCCCAAGTTAATGATATAATTTCAGGAATTCTTTATATTTTTTATTTAAGAAAAAGCATACTCCTACTTTTAGGCTCTCCTAATTTAAAATATTCTAGGTTATTCAGCCTCAAGAGTATGAACCTCCAATTCATCCCTTAGGGATGGAATTTCCAAAAATTCTTTGTAAGTGCCCATTTAGATTATATGAATGGACCAAATATACAAAACCTTTATTAGTTTCTCTAATATGAAGAATAATAGTTTCGCCATAGTAACTTTTACCCCCTATTTCAATCCGCTATTTTCGCAATAAAAGTTAGCTTATGTCCGCCTTCTAGATCTAATCTATATCTATTCATCAAAATCTGTTTAGCCGTTTTGATGTGAAAACGGAACATACATACACACTTTCACATTTATAACATTCCAAGTAGGGATACATATAATGTTGTACACTTACCGTTCTGTAGTCGGGTCAGCGCAATTCAAGGGATATTTCAGTTCTATGATCTCGCCATTCTTTTCTTTCAGCTGTCCTTGATTTTCCATGTAATACTGTACCAGTTCAGAAAGAGTTGCGAACTTTTCTCCTCCATAGAGATCGTAGAAATCACCAGAATTTTGAATTTTTATGTGCGTCACCTCCCCATTTCGTCTACAAATAAATTAAAACATGTTCTACCAGCTAATTGAAAAAAAAAAACAATTGAAAATTAATCGGGGTAAGTTTAGTGGTTTCTAAGATTCTTGGCCCTTGCTTAACTCCTGAAATGCCAGTATCACCTGTAGATAGCCGAAGTCTAACTTTTATTTTTGTTACCATTCTACTATTGTTCCAGTCAATCAGTCACTCTATTAATTTTTAGTTTCTGGCAACACTGACCCTACCTATTATGTGAGATATATTCAGAGCTGTTTCGCATATAATTGGGACAATCCAAGATTTCTTGCAATACAAAGTGATATAAAAATGTCCAATCATAAGTGTTGTTTTGTGTTTTTTGGACAGGATTTGCAACACTGGAAAATTTTACCAAAATTCAAATCTCGATATTTTAGGAACGAGATACCGAATTGAGGTATATTTATTTTATTTATCCACTTATACAGGGTGAGCAAAGGAAGTCAGGTTTTTTTAGCAAAGTTTGGGGCTGTCAGATTCTCAATTTTTGACCTTGGAAATTTTTCTGTGTATCATAAAAAAAGTAATTTCTCAAAATTTTCGAAAGTTGGCTATAACTCAAATTATCGAATTTTAAAAAAGTGTTAAATTTATCAATAAAAAAGTATCTTTTTGGGGGTTTCTCTTAAGAATGGGTATTTTTTTCTCATACTATTTGAATTTCTTGCGCCCGAGAAAAGATTGAAGTACTCATTAAACGTTATTGCCTCCTGCGGCGTGCAGTAAAAGTTTGCTACTTTGACATTATGTAATTTAAACCGAATTTGTAAATTTTACTATAACATTAAACAGCTTATTGAACAAATTCAATTTACTGCTCTTAAGACTAAATATATTAATATAGGGGTGACTTCCAGTAGCGTAACATCAAACGTATTTTTTGGTTTGGTGAGAAGTGCTAATAACGTAAAAACTCATATTTTTCAAAATGCTATGATACTGGCCAACACTGCTCTTTTATCTGGAATTTTTTATCTTTCTCATTCAGCATTGGCGTGCGTCATTGGAGATGTTTTCAATAGGTATAGACTCTATTAAATTTTTAAACAACATCAAGAATTTATTGATTAACATTCACAATATTATGTAACATTTTAGAAAACAAAAATTTAAATACCAAAATTATTTATTTATGACAAAAACGAACTTTTTACAAACCAGCAACAGTTATTTTAAACAATACTGTAGGGACCTTGTAGGGCCACCCTGCACATCGATCACAGCCTGGCATCTTCGTGGCATACTTTCCAGAAGGTTATTAATAAATTCTCGGGATACGTTTTCCCAGTCTTCCTGAATAGCATCAGACTCTTCCATTGTTTGAAGAGCATTTTGTCTTGACTGCACTAAAATTTTTAGCTGAGACCACGCATGCTCAATTATGTTTAGGTCTGGAGACTTTGATGGTAGAAGTAAAAATGTAACATTATTTTCTGCCAAAAATTTTATAACCGTACGAGCTCTGTGCGGCCTGGCGTTTTCATTGATGAAGACAAAATCCTCCCCAAAATCTTGTGCAAAAGGTACAGCAATATTGTTTCAAATGTTGTCTCTATAAACTTCATTGACTGTCCTGCTTGAAATAAAAAGTTCAATTTCACCATTGTGCATAACCCCAGCCCAAACAGTAATGTCATCTCCACCAAACGCCTCTTGTGGAGCCATGTTTTCTTTATCATATCGTTCCCCAGATTCCCTCCAAACAAAGACCCTACCATCAGAGTGGTAGAGGATGAAGCGTGTTTGATCGAAAAACATGCAATTTTGCCACTGATGATGTCATTTATTGCGGGAAGTTAAAAAAGCTATAATTTCAGTTATAGCCAACCTTCAAAAACTTTGAGAAATTACGTTTAGGATAGTCCGAGGATCAAAAAGATGCATAGAAAAAATTCCAAGATCAAAAATTGAGAATCTGACAGCCCTAAACTTAGCTAAAAAACATGACTTCCTTTGCTCACCCTGTATAACTGGATAAATGAAAGAAATATACCGGTTGAATGCTGTACGTGTTCTCAAAGAGTTAGTGAACCTCCCGAATAACGCAACTCGATATCTCTTTCCATTCCGAAAATATCGAGATTTGAATTTGGGTAAAATGTTCCATGTTGCAAAGCATCTGTCCACCAGCTTAGATACATAAGCTAACTTATAAAATAAATTTACTACAAAAATTGCGTATGACTAGGGATCGACCGATACCGACATTAATTACCTTATTGGCTATATCGACCTACTTTGCCTATATTTATATGTATCGTGCGATATGACTCGCCATATACCGATATAAATTAAGTTAAATAGCGTTTAATATGATTGAAGCTAACTTATAAAATAAATTTACCACAAAATTTACGTATGACTAGGGATCGACCGATACCGACATTAATTACCTTATTGGCTATATCGACCTATTTTGCCTATATTTATATGTATCGTGAGATATGACTCGCCATATACCGATATAAATTAAGTTAAATAGCGTTTAATATGATTGAAATAAAATTCAATCCATAGAAATACATTTTCCTTAACTCTATCAACATCTCAACTTTTGTTGCATATATGTATAATAAACACGGAACTAAACCGCCAGTTTCAGTCGTAACCGTTTGGTAAAAGCTTAAAAACAGATAAACAAATACAAAACTGACCATAACATAGATAATATTTAAAACCCGCAGCTATTAAAAACTTTAAATTTAATTTAGCAGATTAATGTGTAAGAATAATAAAGCTTTTGCTCTTTCAAGAGTTAACCTGCTTCGTTTGGCATCGTAAATGTTGCACGCCTCAGAAAAAACTTGTTGGCTGCATACACTTGATGTTGGTCGATCATTTGGACTATTTTCTCTTGCACACATGCTTTTCACCTTTGAAATATATCGGCGATGATAGTACGGAAATACTTATCTGATAAGTCAAAAGAAGGAAATGATTTTATCAGTAAGCAAGTCATGTCAGTAGTGAGATAAACTTGTTAGCTGTCAATGCTATCACGTTGCCGCAGTGGTAATGTAAAAAACCTAAAAAAAAATCAAATGAAACAGACAAAATGTCATCTTGCAAACTAGGTAGTTTTTAGAGTGCAAATAGTTCATTCCACGTTGGCTCGCTATGATCAATGTGAGCGTCATCAAAAGCGTCCATCTATGGAGAAATGACTCAACGACCATGACACGCTCAAGCCTGCATTGTTGGTTGCAGAAAGCCAAGTATCTCTGAGAAGATGTGAAAGAAAGAAAATTGGTTGAGGAGCGAGATCGCATCTGGATGATTATGTGTATTGGTCTGCATGAGCATAAAATCAGTGATATTTGCTATGTGAAAATTACTGAATATGCTGCCAATGAAGTATATCTATTAGCTGTGCCCGACGGGTTATTTATATGCTGTCCTTTATGAACACAGGTTATGTTCAAAGTCATAAATTACGATCTGACCCGTTTTTTTGTGTTTTCAAAAACTTTGAGGAGAATTACGGGAAATCACCACCGCGCCCGCGATTTGCGTAATTACTGTTAGCATATATATGACTTGTAAGTCGACAGTGTACAGTGAATATAATTGCAATATGTGGCAGTATGTAGGTGTAAATATAAGATACACCCATAAAGTTAATTACTTCACCAGCCTCCGATTTTCTTTTCTTATCTCATTTTTAAAATTCAGCAAATTTGCATATGTATTTGAGACAAGAAACCAATAGAATTATCATCAACACAGAGTATTAGCACACAAATCCTCACTATGCTCTACCGTTTCCTTCCAGCTATAGTACACCACTTACAGCTCAGTCCTCCAATAATGTCATCTCTGAAGCAGATGTTACATCACATCAGAGCCAAACTCTAAGGATTTTTTTTCGCAAGTCCACAGTGTAGCACAGTGCAGTACCGGGAACTGATACTCAAATTTTCGCGAAGAACCGATTTTCTTTACTTATCTCATTTTTAAAATTCAGCAAATTTGCATATGTATTTGAGACAAGAAACCAATAGAATTATCATCAACACAGAGTATTAGCACACAAATCCTCACTATGCTCTACCGTTTCCTTCCAGCTATAGTACACCACTTACAGCTCAGTCCTCCAATAATGTCATCTCTGAAGCAGATGTTACATCACATCAGAGCCAAACTCTAAGGATTTTTTTTCGCAAGTCCACAGTGCAGCACAGTGCAGTACCGGAAACTGATACTCAAATTTTCGCGAAGAACGGGAATAGGGGAAGACGGATGTGACGTCATCCAAATGTCAAAAAATCAAGTGGTACGGTTAACGGTATAAAGTCGGTGTGGTACTAGCGGGTGACAGGTCTTATGTCAATCTCATTTACAAAAACAGACATCTCAATTGAAAATTTGTCTTAGCAGTGCCGAAAATTGAGTTAAAGTATTGAATCATATCACCTGATTTTAAGTGACGAAGGAGAAGGTCATCATAGATGTAGGTACACTTGTCATTACAAACGGTTGGTTATATTTACATATATGTACATTGCACAAAAAAACGATCGGTCTTTTTATTTCAGATTAAAATCAGGCAGATAAGTTTATCAGAGAGCGTAAAGCAAACATTTTGTGCGCCATCTAACCACTCCCGGTGTAACTTGAAACTGTCAAAACTTCGAGAGGTAGGGGGAAATTCTCTGTGTCGCGAAAAAATCTTATTGTAGCTGAAGCATCAAGCCGTTTAAACAACACATACAACTACGAAACGAGTTCACAAGTGTACAAAAGCTAGTACTAAGTTGACATCTTGTAGAAAAACCATGCTGCACGGGTATAACGTATCTTCAAAAGTGGCATTTGATTTTTTTTTGACATTTTTAGGTTTGGTTTGACATTACGTAGGTTTTTCTACAAGATGTTAACTTAGCACAAACTGTTGTATTCTTGTTGTGAACTCGTTTTGCAGCTTTACGTGTTGCTTAAACGTCAGCGAACAGCAATCATAACTAGCAAATGGTGAATGAGCTATTTAAACATTAAAAACTAGTCTGCAAGATGATATTTCGTCGTTTTTTACGATTTTTAGGTTTTTTGCATAATAACCGTGCGGATCAGGTAATTAATTTCCTTTACACCTGCCACCCAAAGAAATATGTTTTTTGCATAGAACACAAGTTGCACTATCAAATTCTTCAGTCTTTGATCGAAAGTTCTGTCGAAGTATGCCACTTTTTCTTATCTGTAACATTTTTGTGAAGAATTAAACTTGATATAACCAAAGGGATTCAAGGAAACGTGACTTGCATAGACGCGTTTGCAACTCATGAGCTTTATCAAAGGTTATAGAACCGAAATACTCCCGATTGTGTGCGTGAACAGCAAATGGCCGGATAGGATGATATGTCGGCCTCTGATATATCGGTATGGGCCAATTATCGGTATCGGCGGAAATCCTACTCAAAAGCAAAATTTATTTCGAATTTAAAGAGTAGACAATCCCTTTAAAAGCCATTTAGAAGATGCATCAATAGAATAAACCCTATAAAAGGTATTGGTCTTACTGAAATATATTTACAATTGTTCTGCACAGTTCACTGCTTTTTAAGGAGATGGTTCACAGTTAAAATTCACACAATGGCACTTTCAATACATAACCGGCTTATTTAATTCTACAGAGACAAACATTTTGCCCTTTGATATAACAGAAAAATGATCTATAGATCTCTCCACTGATTTTGGCTGTTACATATCAATGCCATACTAAATTTGTGAGATTTTTTTCCAATTGATTTTCTATTTTTCCATCTTCTTGGTAGGAATTGCTTACTCTGTGCAAATATGTAATCTAACCAACATATTTTGCTGTTGTCATGTTGAAATTAACTAGCTAATACATTTTTTTTGTCCATGAGAGTTTTTGACCAGAATCAACTGAGCAACAATTTTTAAATAATTGTCAAAAAAGTAGACCTAAAACCATTTTCACATCAAATCATCCAAGGTCCTTTATTGCATGTTACATGTTTGTCATCATTCTGATCACAAAATTAACAAAAACTGATTGATCCAAAGATGATTAAATTGAAAATATGTTTTCATGCTATCACGCAGATTGACTGATCTATGGAAGAAACATTGCTGACTACCACGGTTTTGCAAGAAATATAATCAAAATGGTACCAGTGCAGTAGTATAAGAAACATGAATATGTCCAAGTGTAGATCTAAGCCTACTTGATTATTTTCTTTCCATTCATTGGAAACTCAGGAACCTCAATAAAAATAATAGTATATGTCCAGTTTGTAAACATTCAGAAGATTCAGAGATTATATTTTTGCTATTGTGGATTAACTGATAGAATATACTACTGACAGCCCTTTCAATAAATCTAATGCTGAAAAATGAATTCTATAGAATACCTATAGAAGAATCTCTAAGACTAACATACAGTACAGATAGTCCTTTAAGTTTAATAAGCAAAATCCCTACTTCAGTTTCATTTTCTTGCAGTTTAATATGCAATTTCCTATTGTACAAACAATTTTATTGATTTCATATCTTTTTTATGTAAAGTTTTCTATAGCCTTATTCAGGTTCTACAATGAACTATCGCAGAACCATTTTGAATCTGCATAATAGGTTCTAATGATTTGAGAGTAACATTGTAGATTGGCTAGTGGTACTTCAGAACAGTTCTGGGATAGTTCCCTGTAGAAACCCAAATGAAGAATATGAAGGGAAAACATATTGCAAATATTGACAGAAATTACCTAACAGATAAAGTGAAATCTCCCGGATTTGATGAACTTGGCCTTGCTAAGAAACTGCAATCCACTCCTCTTTCCATAAGCAGCTTCTCTGCCTCTATACCACTTATTGTTGGCCAAAACCACCTAGAACAAATATTTTGTTGAATTCATTGTATATGTTTTTTATATGTTTCCATTGTATTTGTGTTGCAAGTATCTAAAATTATCTATAATTCCAACGACTTCTCACTTATGTGAAGGGTGTTGAAGGGTTACAATTAAATATATACTTCAGTATGGAATAATTTAACAAGAGCAATTAATGACTAATACAAAAATTTATAAAACCTTTCAGGAGGGAAGAAATCCTGCCTATATAAAATTTGATTGAGAATAAATTTGATTTAGACATACTGTGGTTGTATTTGTATCATAATAGCTTTGTTTTTTGTATCAGACTATACACAATTCCAAACAGTGTATTTAAACTTGTGGATTACAACTTAAAAAAAAAAGTAGACACACATTTTTGCCCTACAGATTTTAATTGTACTTATACCATACCAATGTAGACATATACAATCATTGTATAACATTGTGTGAACAGTGCAACAAAATGATTTTGCATGTTGTTAAGGATTATGTGATTTACTAATCAGCCAAATATAGTAGTTTCTTGTTCTGATTTACCCTGTTAGAAAGAGCCCATTCTGAAAAAAATCAAATATAATGGCTCTAAAAAAAAAGAGTCTGATAATTGTTCATGAAAAAAAAACTGTGAATGAGTTGATCTTTATTTTTCTTCAGCTAGAGTGATTTTTCTTTCCTGATAACCCACTGCAACACCTGAATGATTACAGTCCTAGTACTGTGCTTGAAAACCTGTTAGGCATGCAATCTTTTCTTATTGTTTCATTAGGAGACATGTAAACATAATACCAGTAAGTGAAACCTGCAATAAGTATTTCTATGTACTACCGTATGCGCCACAGATTGATTTTATATCCTACATTTTCAGATTTATAAAACCAGACACAGTATTTGTGGTACCGTAACGAATATTTATTGTAAACAGAAACGAGATGCCTTACCTCCTCGAACTCATTATTTCCGATTATTCTAGTGAATTCAAATTATTTACTGCAATTAATTGAGGTCCAAGACAAAATCCACCATCAGTTTTTAACTTTCAGCGCCATGTCGGATCATGTATTCTACAAGACATCTACAATCTATAATCTACAAGAAATCTGTTCAATCTACAACAATTATTCTACAGTCAGAGTTGCCGGTACATGAGATGTTCAATAAAAGTGAGCATTCCGTCTCTAGTCTAAAATAACATTATCTTTCATGACTTCTGTATTGGTTTATGTTGCTGTTTATTTGTTTTAAAAATGAGACTTTTTTTTAGCGTATTATCACTTCATCACATCCTTTTCTTTTCGCATTTTGAATCTTAGGCACAAAGATGACGGACGATGATACTTGTGTAATAATAGAAAGTAGTTGATCTGTGCCGTGACAGCTTGTCGATCGGAAACTTACCGGGAATGTTCAAAAAAATACTAAAGGGTGAATTACTGAATGATAACCTTCTCATGGTAAGGTTTTAAAAGTAACATAATTGGTTTCAGGTACATTTTTTACAACTAAGTATTAATTATACAGTTCCAGCTGTATTAATGAATCTCTACAAGCCATGTTTGCACTTCTATTTTTCACAATGTTTTGTGTGCTTCACTAGGCTCTGTAAATGCACAGTTTATTCGACTGGCAAGTCTAAATATTCAGACATTCAGTAAAATATGAATTGAATTTATGTATATATAGGAGTCAGTTTCAGGATAAACTCGTCAGTTCTACCGTGTGGATAGTAGACGGAAATATACTTAGGATCCATTAGTTTTTGCTCATGGAACTGACGTAAAATCACTGTAGCGAGTTTCGGTAAGCTACTTATATTACAATAATATTACAAGACCTTAACATAAACTACGTTTACTAAAAAACTATTAAGCCTTAAGCGTTGAAGCATTGTCTTTCAATTCTTCAGAGGCCCCTTCCGCAAGCAACTGTTGTTTCTCCAGAAGTTTTTTATGTTCCACATGTGGCCTAGTCTGCGTGAGATACTTATAGCCTCTAATTCCCATTAGAGACATTGCATAAACTGTTGCACCTATACAAATACATACAAATCCTTTATGTAATCTATCAATCAACGCATTTCTGAGTGGGTGCTTTTGCATGTTTGTTTTGTAATTTGTAATTACACGGCTTGTTTATCTATATTTTTTGCAATTTTCATGCAAAAATATAATGTGTGAGGTTATGTCGTTATGAACCACAAAGTCACAACACAAAGTTATAGACACGAAACAGAAAAAACAGGATTTGTCTCTTGTCAGCACGTTGTCTGTCAGGAGTCAGGACAGTGTGTCAATCACACAAATTCCCTCAACCTCCAAATGGGGTATGTTCTATGCAGTGTTGCCTACCGGCGGAATAAGTTCAGATTTGCGGAAGTTTTTGGATCGTGAAGGAACTTTTTCGGAACCTAAATTTTAGAGGAACTTTTCGGAACCGTTTGAAAAGGAGGGTTTATTTACCGAATTTTTAAAAAACTCAAACATTTTCTAATATTTAACGAAAAGAATACCGGCAATACCGTAAAGATACACACATGGGCACTCGTTCGTCGCTTCTATTCTCTTGCCGCTGTTTGCCCCAGCATTCATAGCGCGCTAGCCAATAGGAGCTCGCAAATTGATCGAGGCCAGCTCGTGTTTATTTTAACGGGCATTAAATAGTTTTTAGTGTAATAAAAATAACGAGTCGTTAAGCATTGAATTACGTTATTTTCGACAGCGATAGCAATTGGGGATGGTTGGAAAAACGAGAGTTTTTATGATAAATAAAGTGACTGTGGTAATTTAACAGTACTGGCAGATGACAGATTGTTTATTTTTTTCGCTAAACCCAAAATTTCAAAACCTTATTAAATTCGACCTTGCGAAAGTTTCGATAATATTTTTGACTAAACCGAACAAGAAATGAATAGGTTTAGAAACATAGAACCATAGAACGAAAAGCAGAACTACAATGAAAGCCTTCCTTGCCACATTGCATATATGTACATGCATAAAAATCAAGACAATTCAATCTATTCAGGACTTCTTTAATAATGTTTATCCAAATTTTTCAAAATGTGTTGTTTGGCATACAAAACTAATCGTACACCCCTCGTACCTTTCCGTGATCTAAATGGTAAAGCAGTGGCCAACCTTGTTCCTAGTCGCCTGTTGCCAGAATATCCATGTCCAATAGACATTTTTTTAAATCAAACTGCTGCCACATATTTATTTTTTATTTTATACAAATGCCGCATATCTAACTAGCCCGGTGGAATCGAAATTAAAGTTTTTCCTAGGACTGTTTTCAAATTAGATTTATCTTGATTTTATTGGTTGGTGATTTAGCAACAGCGCTTTGAGTACAAGCAAAAGCCAATAGGAATGGAATGAATTTGAGTTTTGAGTGTACGTGAACCCAACCCAAAAATACCTTTTGAGCATTTTGTTACTATTTTGGAATAATTTTACCACCAATCACACGAAGGGGTATGTTTTGAATTATTTGCTATGCTTACAATGTGTGTTGTCTGATTATATATAATAAGAATTTAAAGAATTCGACTCCCGGAACTGCTGATGAGTGTATGACGCTAGGAATGCAGTGTTAAAATGGCAGCATGATAGCACCAAATGATAGTTTCTGCACTTCCAGGCGATTGTTTCAAATACTTGCGTATATATTTCAGAAGACAAATCTGCTGTAATAATTTAATAGAATACTCCGTAGAATTCTTGTGGCAACTACACTGCTTTAATCTTCATGGTTCCAGGTTGAAATGCAGACCATAAAATGCGTGGTAGTTGGTGATGGGGCCGTTGGTAAGACTTGTCTTTTGATAAGGTATGTGCTGGTTCATTTCTTTTATTAGCATGTATTTGCTGAAACTGAATATGATTGCTTTCCATTTCTGTAACCAGACAAACTGTAAATAGAGCTGTTCCATGCTTTTTAGCAACTCATCAGTACAGTAAAGGTCTAGACTTGCAGGCAGACAAATGGAAAGCAAGCATGTGGGTATAGTCTTTTCAAAGCATGCATTGTCAATTGTTTCAATGTTGACCCTGTCCATCCTACTGTCATTACAAAATTTCTAGTAGTGACAAGTTCTCAGGGTCTAGAACTGTTGATCAATATCAGATCACTCCAAAGCTTGACAACCAAATATTGTAAAAAGTTGATTATGCATTTTGTTATATGTCTACCCATATATTGCAGTGCTGTTGTTTACAAAAGTTTATGGTCATATTTTGTCTCTTAGATAACTTGTAAGGTCGTAATAGTAGTTTTTATTTACATGCAGCCTATGTATACAAACGTTATTATGACTATACCCATTAACAATCATTAGTTATATTCAGTTGCACCTAGCTGCTACAAGCTAGCACTGTGTGAGGTATTACTTAACTCAGTTGCTGAATACCTCTTGCTAATAACAGAATCTGCTGACAACTTGCACAGATCAGTATAAACTTGTTTCACATGCATAACTTCTGTCAATCAATCTCACAGTGTTTCTAAATTAAGATAACATCTAGCAGACTAGACAATGTTATACTTCTCACAGCACCAGCTAGTTGCAACTGAATGTAACCATTGATTGTAATTCATTGGTTGCATTTATCCAAAACAGTCTATGGAACAACTTAATATGTTTACATATTAGATGTCAGTGGGAACAGCTCTAAAGTTACTTTTTAGTATTGAAGGAGTGAATGAAGTTGCCATTTTATGTTCATCAGATTAAAAGAGGACTATTAGACTGACCGTAACATTAGGTGCTTGATAGATAAATGTTTCTTTGCGAAACCATGCTTCATAATAGTATAAAACAAACAAAAGTACTACACATTTCTTGAGGTGGGTTCAAAGTGGGTGTGTTTTATACTAGTGTGATATCAGACAACATAGCACTTCATTGTCTGGTCGCATAAACTCATACCTCATTGTTCCATAAACAAATGCGTTATTAGTAGAAAACACTAAATTCCTTGTTATTACATTATCTGCAGTGAACTCAATACAACATAAGCACTTTTTTATGAGGGACAAAAATATGTAGACAAATTCTTTTCAACATTAGTTTAGTACAGTTTCATGTCAGAAGAGGATTAGTTTTTGTTCATCAATTATTGTGGAATAAGTCGAGTGATTTTAAAACCATGCCACGTGGTCCAGAAATTTCTTTCGATGTGAATACTATTATCATTGAGTTATACGAAGATGGGCAACATCAAGTCGACATTGCCAAAAATTTGAAGCTGAAGCGTTAAGCAAGCAGGACCGATTACAATTTGCATGGTTGCATCTTGATTGGAGCACCTGTGACTGGAAGATTGTATGTTTCAGTGATGAATCCAAGTTCAATATGTTTGGATCAGATGGTGTTCATTATGTTAGACGTCCTAGTGGACAAAGATTGAACCCCAAGTACACTTTGCCCACTGTCAAACATGGAGGCGGGTCTGTTATGGTTTGGGGGTGCTTTTCGGGGTTTGGGATAATAATAATAATAAAGCATTTATTGCCCAACAGTACAGGTACCATTTAGAGAGCAATACATAATACAATGGTTTAATTTACACAGTCTGTGTGTCATAAAGTGAAACAAAAATAAAAAAAAAAAAACACACAGAAAAGAGGAAGACGCTTTAAGTAGAGACAAAAGAAACTATAAATATGATCAATAGATATTAGGAAACCAACATATACTGGTATATACACAATGATGGGACCTTTACATAGAATAGATGGCATTATGGATAAGTTTGTATACACAGACATACTAAAGCATGTCATCTTACCCTATATCGAAGACAATATGCCCTTAAGATCAATCTTCCAGCAAGATAATGACCCGAGGACTCTTCAAATCTCTGGATGAAAAAATACCAGTTGGCCACAGTCTCCTGCTATAAACCCCATTGAAAATCTATGGGAATACTTAGATAGGCAAATACCAGATAATAATTGTTCAAACAAGGATGAACTTTTTGCCGCTTTAGAGCAAAAGTGGAGACAGATTGATGAATCTTATATCAAAAAACTTCTACAATCTATGCCCAGACGATGCCAGGCAGTGGTTGTTAATAATGCTTATGCTACAAAATATTAACACAAACATGGTTGGTTTTCTATAATTCAATGAACTTTGCTTCTTTTTTCTATAATTGTTTTGCTTAGTCTATATATTTTTGTCCTTCATAGTTAGTTTTTTTCAATTACTTTTTAATTGAAGGGAGTCTAATGAATATATTTATGTATAAGTGAGTATTATGCTATAACAAATTATGTATACAGATTGGTGTATTAATAAAACAAGTTAAAAAAGAAATACAGCACAATATTAATTTGTCAATATACTTTTGTCCATTACTGTATGTTTAAATTTCTGTTTGCTGTAAGGTGTTTTGAATGTCACTCTGGCCTTTTTCAAGTAAAATTTATGAAATCTGTGACAATATATGACAGCATGTCTTTAGAAAAGCCCCATTGCATGGTATTCAGCACCATTACCTCAGTAGTCCGGATCTATATGGATAAGCTGCTAGTGTATGGCACATTATTGAGCATATTTACATGACAAGTATCTCTTTTCTCCTGAATTTTCTACTATGATTCATATGAGATAACCCTAAAAATGCTGAGACACTAGGAAATGGTTGGTGGCTCAATGATTTTGTCAAAAACGATTCTACATGTTGTACTACAGCTCCATGGACGTGTTGGCTGTCTGTTCATCACTAACTGAAATTATCCACATTGAGATAGAGGAATAAAAAATGGTTCAACAAATTGTGCTACACGGCTCATCAGCAGAAGATCGAGGCACATAGAACCTTCTTACAGAACCCTACTGTAGAAGACAGGCAAGCTGATGTTGAGTACAGAAACAAATATAATGATGCAGTCCGCAATGCCAAAGACCAGCACAATATAAAAATTATGCACAGGGTAATGTTGCAGCTCAATGGCAGTCTTACTGGAAGCTGGCAAAACAGATTGAAAGTAACCTCTCACAAAGTAGCCTTCCACCACTTACGAGCCAGGAAGGAACGATTATAACCAACTCAAAGGCTAAGCAGGAAATGCTTGCAAAGATCTTTGCCGCCAACTCCACCATGGAAATTCCCACCAACGCCCTAGTACCATCGATTCAAAGGGTTTCCTAATAAGCGGGCATAAAACTTAAGAGGGGTGCTCTTGTTGCTCAACATCAACAAATCTTCTGGTTTTGACTTGATTCCTACCATTGTATTAAAGATGTGTGCAGCAGAGCTTGTTCCAGTTCCTCCACGGCTCTTCTAGATATCTTTCGAATCCCACACCTTCCCAGAAAACTGGAATGTCCAACCAATCCCAAAAAAGGGATCTAAGACCGACCCTTACAACTACAGGCCTATAGCTCTGCTTTCTGTTATAAGTAAGGTAATGAAGAGGTGCATACATCGCGGGCTTTTGGAGTACCTAGAACGTCACGGCTTGATTAGCGACACAGGCAGTATGGTTTCCGACACCAGGGGACCTCCTAGCTTACATCACGCAATAATTGTGGAGTAAACTCGTCCAGTCTTGTGGTGAGGCTCATGTCGTTGCTCTTGATATCACAAAAACGTTTTAATCAGCTGTTACATGCTGCACTCTTATGCAAACTTCCATCCTATGGCCTCCCTGGGTAGCTTTGCAGAAGTGAGGCTGCAAGAGATATTGATGGGTTCTCCTCTTCATCCCGCAATGCCAACGCGGTTGCTCCCCAGCGATCGGCCTTGGCGCCAACATTATACCTCTTACATATCAACAACCTCCTTTTCTGTGAGATCAATCCAATCCACAGCTTTGCTGATGACAGCACTCTACATGCAAAAAAACTATGCTATTTGTTTAGGGTTTAGGGCTAAGAAGTACTTTTCACCTCATGACCTCCTCTCTCTATACAGGTCCCACATAAGACCTAGCCTCGAGTATTGCCCGCATGTTTGTAGTGCTGCCGCCCCGACTACATCATTCGAGCTCGATGCTCGTTGGCTTCTCTAACAGACAGTCTCGGGACCCTTTCACACCATCAGGCCGTCGGCGATCTAGCTGTCTGCTAGAGCTACACCAATGGGCTTGCTCTCCAGAGCTCTCCTCCGTGATGCAACCGGGCAATGTGCCTGACAGACAAACCCGCCTGACTTCCGCCTACCATTCTGTGTCGAACTTCTTACATCCAGAACTAGCCTATATGACCGCTCCTATGTCCCTAGGGTCTCGAGATTGTGGAACAATCTACAAGAGGAGGATTTTCACAGTTCTACGAACGCCAGGCAGTTCAAAAATCGGATTACATTTTTTCTTTAGGATGCTCATATCACCACTGTGCCCTGGCATTTAGGCTTCTGCCTGTGCGGCTGCTTCAGTGTAAAAACAGTATTGCAGAATTATTGATATTCTGAGGAATTTTCATTAAAAACTCGAATGAATAGCTTAGCACAGGGATGTAAAACATTTTTGTTTGACATTCCACTCAGGCTCCAGAACAACATATAAAAAATATGGTCCAACATATTAATCTGATGTATTGGTAAAGCTAACTAATTGTTATATCTCACAATATCACTGAAGGCTTCAAACCCTATGTTAATCCTTAATTCCAAGCAAAATGTTACAAACAATATTATTTGCAATGAATGTATTAATTTCTTTTCAGTTATACAACAAACAAATTCCCTTCAGAATATGTGCCCACTGTATTTGACAACTATGCAGTTACTGTTATGATAGGAGGAGAACCATATACCTTAGGATTATTTGATACTGCAGGTAATCATCTTTTTACCAGATGTTCTTGATTATTTTTATTATAGGTGTGTGGTAGACTTTATGAATCAGATACATTTTCTAAATACTGTTGATTATAAAAAAAAGATTCTCGTCTTAGAGCAAATGCTAGATACAATATTATACCCTATTTCACGAGTATCCATCACAGTAGAATGACAGCCGATTATCCGTTTCCGTTTTTTGCACGGTACATATTCATTTTGTACTTGCTAACAGCTCTTTTATTTAGAAAAGTTCATTTGCATACAAAAACAAAACGCCACAAACAAGTTTTTTTAGATTTATACCCGATTCATCATTGCCAACATTGCAGACTACCACAAAAATGTCACTTGCTGATCAGCTGTTCACCTCAGTACACGTCAAAGCATGATGGATACTCGTGAAGTAGGGTATTTGTTGTCTTCAAAATTGTTTGGTGTAAAAAGTGAGTCTTGTAGGTTTGCCTGGTCATTCTCAATTGGACCCAAATTATGCGTGGAAAAAATGAAAATTCGCTGAAATTAGTATAATGAAAAATTTTCATGATTACATTGCTACCATGTGATCCATTTACAAAGTTTCTGTACTTGTTGCACTTATAACAATAAACATTTTAAGGTTATAAGTTAATTACTAGTTTCTATTGTAATTATTGATCCAAAAATATGAAGTTTTAATTGTTATATTTCTTCTAACGATTAGTCATCAGGCTTTCTATATTTTAAACAATGTTTTCTTTGAATTTAGGACAAGAAGACTATGACAGGTTGAGACCTTTGAGTTATCCCCAAACAGATGTGTTCTTGGTTTGTTTTTCTGTTGTTAGCCCATCTTCTTTTGAAAACGTCAAGGAAAAGGTTTGTAATACATGAACATAGACTTAATATTCAAATTAATAGCATTTTATGAATTTCAAAGAATACAAAACGCACTAAAATTATTCTTCAATAGCATAAAGTACAAGTTTTTTAAGTCTCTTGATATGTTAGCTGATTATTTGATACATTTTTCAACAAAAAAGGCTATGGTGTATATAGTTGTCCAAGGCTATGCTGTATATAATTGTCTAGCTCTAAGTTTGATCATTAATGTTGGTAATTAGTAAAATATTGGATACTCAATATTCAAAAACTGTAACTACCTAACTACCATGTAGGCCTAAATACTGGGCACTGGGGGACTATAGGGGGTACATGGGAAAAGGGGTGGTATTCACAGACTTGCAGGGAGTGTGCACTTATTCTGGTAGGAAAGTGCTTTGGATTGAGTTAAAGCAGATTTATTTATCATACATAAACGACATTGCAATATGTAAGCATTGCCATAAATTCACGTCAAAAAAATGATCAGACTGACCCTTACAACCTCAGGCCTATAGCTCTGCTTTCTGTTATATGACGAGAGACCTGGAGGTGATCACTGCTTGGGGACGCAACAATCTTGTATTGTTTAATGCTTCCAAAACACAGTATTGTACCTTGACGAACAAGAAGCGTCCTAGCGCTCATCCGGTTTCGATGGATGGCCTCTTCTACCGCTACGCCAAGGAGCTTTGCCCCTCAGAGCTCTCCTCCGTGATGCCACCGCGTTATATGCCTGCCAGACAGACCGGCACGGGTATCACGTATCTTGAAAAGTGACATTATACCGATTTTTTTTACATTATGCTGTTTTTTTGACATTACGTAGGTTTGTCTATAAGATGGTAGTTTAGCACTTAGTTGTACATGTTGCCTAAACGTCATGAGGCTTGTTATCAATCTTTGGTTCTGATGTGATGTAAAATCTGCTTCTGAGATGGCATTACTGTCTGTAAGTTGTATGTGTTGATATAAGTACATTGGGTTCTTGTCTCAAATACACTTAATTGAGATTCAGAGCTAGAAATTAGTTGCGCAGTCACTTTTTCTTACACATTCTGGAAATTACATATACAAATTTGCTGAATTTAAAAAATGAGAGTGATAGGAAATAATTATATTCACTGTACTCTGTCAAATTATTACACACAACGCGGACGAGGTGATGATTTCCCGTAATTCTCAGTTTTTCGTAATTTATAACTTTGAACATAACCTCTCTTCAGAAATCACAACATAAAAATAACTCGTCGGGCACAGCCAATAGATATACTTCATTGGCAGCATATTCAGTAATGATTTTCTCACACAGCAAATATCACTGATTTTATACACATGCAGACCAATACACATAATCATCCAGATGCGATCTTGCTATTCAACCAACTTTGTTTTCAGAGCTAAAAACTACAGACTAGGACTACTCGGCCTCATAAAACACATGCAACCAATAATGCGTGTAGTTTAGTTGAGTGATTCCTCCATAGATGGACGTTCACAACGATCCTAGAGAGCAAACCTGGAACGACTGTTTGCGCCCTAAAAACTACCTAGTTTGCAAGATGACATCTTATAGTTTTTTTTTGACGTTTTATAGATTTTTTACGTGATACCCGTGCCGCACCCGTCTGACTTTGGCCTCCCATCATAACGTCGAACTTCATTCATCCAGAGCTGGTCGATGCGACGGTTCCTTTGTGCGTAGGGTATCGAGATTGTGGAACAATCAACATGAAGAGGCTTTTCCCAGTGCAACTAACCTTAGGAAGTTCAAAAATCGGATTAACAAAGTTTCTTAAAGCTCCTGATAGCAGCCGCGGTACCCTGGCATTTAGGCTCTTGCCTACGCGGCTGCTTCGATTTAAAAGAAAATGATGTCAAATGTTTTGATGTTTTTCAGTGGGTACCCGAAATAACGCATCACTGTCAAAAGACGCCTTTTTTATTGGTGGGGACCCAGGTTGATCTTCGAGATGATGGAGCCACCATAGAGAAGTTGGCTAAAAACAAACAGAAGCCGATATCTATAGAACAAGGTTAGTTGTGAAATTATCACATTGTTAGAAAGAGTATTTTGTTTTCCATAAATATTCAGTACTTTCCACTTTTGTAGCTCATTGGTCCCATCTATAAAATCATTGTAAATTAATTATAAGTCGACCAATACAGGATTTTTGCTTATAGCAAGTATTGGCCATATGAATATTGCAAACAAATCAACCAATACGCTTTATACGTGTATATGATTGAAAAAAACATGCATCGTCAATAAGAGTGAAATATACTAAATAACAAGGAAAATGCAACACTGACTAGGAGTGCTGTCATTTTGAGCATACTTATACAAGTTTTAGGTCTACTGCAACTTTGCAAAACAGCTGAGATATCCCATCTTAATGTTAATAATGTGTTTGAAGCTTCTGTGTTCGCTACACATTCGTTAAGGCGTCGCGCCATTTATTGGATTAGGTGATTGATGTCTTCTTGGTGTATTGCATCCCAGGTCATCTGAATTTGGTTTCGTAGAGCCTCCATTGTTTGTGGAGGTTACAGTGAATTTTGTCACCTTCTTCCCATCATGTCTCACACATGTGCGATGTGGGAAGGGTCTGGAGATCAAGGAGGCCACTGAAGCAGATTTACTCTCGACGCGTCTAAAAAGTCTAAACTAACACGTGCAAAATGAGGTCGTGCACTGTCCTGCTGAAAAAGTGGATCTTGTAATGTTTCCAAAAAGAGAAGCAGATGTGGTTGCAAAAATTTGTGGATATAGCGTTGGGCAGTCATGCTACCATGAATGAACACTAATTGTGACCTGCTGCCATAAGCAATGGCACCTTATACCATAACACCCACAGTGCGATGAATATGCCGTTCGATGGAACGTCTTTCACCACGTCTCCTCCTTACTCTTGTACGGCCATAATGTTTGCCCAAACAGAATTTGGACTCGTCTCTCAACACGACAGTTCCATTCCATATTCCATTCAAGTATCTTCCTACTCCATACTAATCGTGGCCGACGATGCTGTGGGGTCAGAGGCAGTACAAGATGGGGACAGTCCAAAAGACCTTATTCGGCGATAAACTATCCTCATTGTTATTGCCCTTCCGACAGCATCAAACCACTGGTTCGCCACTTCCCTTATTGTGGAAAATCGATCTCTAAGTGCTAGTTGCCTCAAGTAACGATCCTGTCGCTCTGTAGTCTGTCTTTGACGTTCAGTACCTCGTCGTCGATTTCAGCCATCTTGGAACCACGCTCGACATCTCATTACAGTAGCTCCGTTTCGATCCACCCAATTAGCGATTTCTCTATAAGAAAATCCGACTTTACGTAATCCTATTATCCGACCCCTCTCAAACTCGGAAAGTTGAGTGAAATTAGCGAAATGGAACCAACACAAACATAAAAATCACGGAATATTAAATAAGCATGTTCATATTGTTCGGATCCTGATATGACAAAAAAAGCCTCTACAAAAAAAGTACGGCTCGGAATGCCTTCAACATTTGATCAGCGTATATTTACATGATAGCAAATTTCTTTACACGTTTTTTATTAAAATTCAGTAAATAATTCTGGGTGTTGCATTTTATATGTCACTTAGTATATGTACATATGACATGCCATTTCAGGATTTGATTTTCCACACAATAAATCATAATAAAAGACAATGCAGGGTTATAACAATTTATAAGTGGAGACAGCTTATCGGTCCTGGTGTTAACATGTTCGCCCTTACATTGGTCTATCTAATTCAATTCAAACAGTGCATTTTGGGAAAATCCCTATAATGGAACAATTTTAAAAACCCGGTTTTGTAAAATTGCATTTCATGAAATGCAATGTTACAGATCAGAATTTTCAAACTAGGTTTTCTGTCTGTTGCAAGTAACTGTGGTTTCATGAAATGGGGTTTCCCAGTGTGAGTCGCTTCTTCATTTGTTTTGAGGCATTAAGTTCAATACTGAAGCAGAATGTTGATATTCCTGAAAAAAATAGTGCCATGTGAAAATATTTTGACAAAATCACCTTTTGACCTGTTGGTCTAGCTTTTCTAAACCATTGGTCAGCGATCTGACGCGTAGTAGCCGGTCTCGTAGGGCTAGTTGTCTGAAGCGCCTATCTTGATGTTCTATGGTACGCCTCGGTGGACCAGTTGGCTTTCTTCGTGTTCCTCTACCGTCTTCTATCCACATACGACACACACGCATTACCGTCATTGCAGTACAATTGACAGAGCGACCAATTTCGCGATAGGACAAACCATCTCGATAGGCAATAATTCTATCCCTGTCATAGTCGCTAACATGGTGATAATTTGGCCGTCTCCGAACTCCAGTCATTTTGTTATGCTTAACACTAGTAAATGAAAGGGCAATAGCTAGCAGAAGGTATTGGAAATTGAACTTTGGAGCAGTGAGAGTGCATGCCCTAGTGGTGCATTCAATATTTCAGCGACACTGAAAAGCCTCTCCACTGGGGTCGGGCATAATAATAGTCCAAGAACCAACACTTAATAGGAATGTGTGAACAGATCGAAACCATGAGTTTATTCACAAGGACGGATTAATATTTTCCTAATCCTAGTCGTATTTTTTAAAGGAGGGCTCTCACCCAGGGCATACATCTAGCAGCACTGTGTCAAAGTTTCAATGTTGTAGCGATGGGATTTTGGAACACGACACCTTGATATGACATTTGACCATAAAGCACAAAACTTTCATTTTGCACTCATTCCATCAATCAATACGCAGTGTTGTTGCATCGCTTATGGATGTTTATGAGTATTTGAAGTAGGTTATGGGTACTTGAAACACCTTTTGACTATTTGAATTACTTTACTGGAGTATTTCAAATGCTTTAGTATTCCAAGTAAAATTGTGGAGTATTTGGAATACATTTTATGTTTTCGTGTATCGAATACAAATACTTCATGAAGAGTATTTGAAGTATCAAGTATAAATACCACAGAAAATAAAGTATTTGAGGTAGAGTATTTCAAATTCAAAAAAGTATTTGTAATACAATTTTCAACTAACTTGAAGTACTGATAACTCTGGATGCAAATAATGTATGTGCAGGGTAGCCCAACGAAAAGGTCCATTTGTGACTCTCCTGGTATATTTTAGGGAAAACGCTCGGACACGTCAATTTAAAATAAGATATTGCGTTACACTTTAGATTTTTAAATGGAAACCCCAATTTTTTTTATTTTTTGATTTTCCATGTTTTTAGTAACTTTTGTATAATAAAGTTTATACCTATCTTAAATCGTCGTGAAGCTATTTGAGTTCTTAATAAAATTCTAGAAATTGTGGGATTTTATCGTAAAAATAATCACTAGAGACCGAATTATATACAACATAATAAGTTTGAAGTATGCATGAAAAATGGTTAAAATATGCATGAAAGTATTAAAATATGCAAAATTAAATAACAATAAAAGAATGATGAATTTTATACTTTTTATTTTAAAATCGGCTTGCAAGTGACGACTACTTAACATGTTATTTTTGTAAACACAAACAATAAGGTATTGTTCCAAATGTTCAGTGGTACCTACCTTTTAAGAAAAATTGGTTGCTCGGATCGGAATATTACATCTTGAAGAAAAGATTTTAGATGGTCATTTAGCAGCAGTTCAGATGCGTAGACCGCATTGTAGCTTGAATTGCTGATTTTTTGGTCACTGTGTGTTTTAACTGGCTGCAAAATTGCTAACATTCAAGCTATAAGTTTTAGAGTCAAGGCCGCTAATGGATATTTATTTTTTTATTAATTGGTTAAAATAAACACAATCAAAATAACATGTATGCTTATAGGAAAACCTTTACATGTAAGTACGATTAATCATGAAAAAGTTGAGTTAATTAAATCATTAAATATTTGGGCATATATGTAGGTAGTAAATTAAAATTTGAAGGGCTCTGAACGTATTATTTCAAAAATATTCAAAAGGATATATTACTTTTAGAGAACTTTGTATATTCTAACAAAAAAAAGTGTAACACATTCATTCTTCCTCATTTGTTACTTTGTTCGACTATTTTGTTCAATGCAACTGAATTTTCAAATTACAAATATTACAAAATAGAGTTACGAGAATCATATACATATATAGCGAGGGTTCTACGGCTGCTACCGCTTCTCGCACTTCAGTCGTCATTCTCTTCTGTTTTCCCAATCTCCTACATTCATTTCCCTTTTCCTCATGGCCTCTTCTATCCCTTTCCTCTCTTCCTTCTGTTGGTTGGGATATATGATACCATTTTCCTTGGCCATCTTTCATCAGCCATCTTCATGACATGGCCGTACCATACTAGTTGTCTTCTTTCCACTCTATCCACAATGGTATCTTGTACACACGTCCTTTCTCTAATCATATCGTTACGGATATGGTCCAACCTAGATACTCTACACGACCGGCGTAGGGAGTCCATGTCAACGGCTTTAAGCTGGTTTTCTATTTTTGTAGCTGCCAGCACTCGGCCCCATAAGTAGTATTGGCTCCACGATACTGTGATAAACTTGAACTTTCGTGTTAATGCTAATTTTGGAAGACCATAAAATAGAATTCAGTCTCTGGATTGCCATTTTACCCTGAACAATTCTGCTTTGGATATCTTTTTTTGTTGAACCGTCAGATGTTATATATAGGTTCCCAAATATTTGAACTCCTGGATTTGTCTTATTACTACATTGTCCACCTGAAGATCAGCGGGCTTGTTTCCAATAACGTGGTATTCTGTTTTAGTCACATTAATGTTCAACCTCCATTCACAGTGTTCATGTATAAGTTTTCTAGTCATATATCCCATGTCTTCTTCATCATTTGCTATCAGTATTTGGTCATCCGCAAAAAGTAATGTAAACAAGCAGGTATTTCCGATTTCAATCCCCATTCTATGGCACTTTTTCCTCCAGTTGGTTGGTCAAGGCTTCATGTATATATATATTAAAAAGGGTTGGGGAGAGGCAGCACCCTTGTTTCAGACCCGTCGTAACTTTAAACGGTGCAGATATTCTGTTATTCAGTTTCATTACGCACCCTGTATTCCTATATAACGTTTTAATGGCTCTAATGTAATACTGATTCATATTCATTTCATGTAAAACTGAACAATTTATTAATTGGCACTTTATCGTAACGTAAGCCTTCTCTAAATCAATAAACATTAGATGTGTGCTTAAATTTCTTTCTGACCTTCTCTCGATTAACTGCTGTAATATACTGATATTATCTAGGCAGGATCTCCCAGCTCTAAAACCTGATTGCTTCTCAATTTCCATGAAATCCTGCTCAATTATTGTTTTTAGTATTCGGCCATACAGTCTCCCTATAGAACTGGTTACTGTTATGCCTCTATAGTTCGAACATACCTTCTTACTACCTTTTTGTGTATAGAACTGATACATCCTATTTTCAAATCATTTGGAATGTCGTCACCATCCAAAAGGCATTTGTTGAATACCTTCAGTAATTTCTCCAGCACTATATCCGGTGCATATTTCACCAACTCCATAGGAATACCTCGAGGTCCAGCAGCTTTCCCATTCTTCATACATTTGAAAGCCTTTTTCAGTTCTGTTGCACTGATTTCCTCAATTGTACCTCCAACACTTTCATCTTCCGCTATTCATTTCTCCTTAAATTGAGATCTTTCTTCTGACAGCAATTTTTGGAAGTAATGCTCCCGTTTACTAATTTTTATCAACGTGATATTGCTACTACACTTATTGTCCTTTCTGAGACCCTTTATGGTTTTCCACGCCTCGGATACTTTCGTGCCCCCCATATATCGATTGATCTGCTCGCACCTTTCCTCCCAGAAGTCGTTTTTTCTTCTTCTCACGTCCCTTTTAACTTCTCTATTCAACCTGACGTACTGCTTTCTATCTTCATAGTCTCCCGTCGCTAGCCACTTATGATATTCTTCTTTCTTATGTTTGACTTATCTTTCAACTCTTCTGTCCACGAATCTTTATTTATTCTATTGCTTCTTTCAGCTTCTCCTAGAGCCTCTCTTGCGGCTTCATATTTAATCGTGTTCTGCTGTCCCTTCTTCTAATTTCTGTATTTTATTAGCTAGTCTCCTTATATAAAAATTGGACCGATTCCTGGTTCAAACTCCGCAAATTGTATTTTGGAAGCTCTAAGTTTTGTTCTGTGTTATCTGTGCTTATGTCTTGCTTTTGTTTTCGAAAACGTCTGATGTTAATTAGCACTTTCGCCTTCACCATGAAATGATCAGAACCGCATTCAGGTCCTCTCTGCACTTTCACATTACTGATTTTTAACAGAGAATTCTGTCGTTGGATCACATAATCTATGATACTTGTTAGTTTTCGTTTTGGTTGACTCCATGTATATTTATGTATCATTTTGTGAGGAAAAAATCCATTCATAATCCTTAATGAGAATGTCTCACACATGTCAATTAATATTTGGCCACCATATATTCCAACAACTGCCCTATCCATAAAACATCCAGTACGAGCGTTCAAGTCACCAACGATGAAAATTTATTTCTTTGGATTGATGTTTGTCAGAACTTGTGTCAAAGTCTCATAAAACTGATCTTTAATCAAAACCTCTGCGTCATCTGTCGGAGCGTAAACTCCCACAATGACAATGTCATATCCATTTTACTTCAGTTCTAACGTCACTATCTATCATCTAATTCTTCCCAACTCGTTATCTTTATTGTGCACCGTTGTTGCAACTCCCCTTTTTGCTCTCTCGTTTTTGTTTACTCCACTATAAAACATTATACAATCCTCTACCTTTTCATTTCCTTTTCCCTTTTTCTTAGTTTCTGTTCGCCAATATCTATTTTCATTCTTTACATTTCATCAAAAACTTCTCGACACATCTACAGTGGTGAAATATCAAAAAAATTATACCTACTTGGTTTTTATATTCATATGCAAGTTAGAAATCATCTACCAATTAATTTAGAAAATTCTATTGAATCGAACAATGAGTACCGTAATTATGCTACTAGAGGAAGTATCGATTTTTCATTTACGAAAATGCAGTAGCAATATTACAAACAAATCGGTATTTTTAAAAGCATTGTTAGAATTTAATAAATTTTAAGTAATGATATCCAAATGTATGCCAGCTTGAAGATGTTCGAAGGGAAATTGAAAAATTTCATGGAAGAATTCATAGGAGTGAAAATTTTGTATGAAAATTATAGACACCCATGATTGTTTTGTTTTTAACGAGAAAACCATAACTTTTTACGTTGATTAGGACGTTTTTTTAGGAATATCGAAAGAAGACTACGTTAATCCACAAGTGACATACGGATGTCGTTTCTTTATTTACAATTTCTATGATGTTACATCATGGCAGTAGTGTTTCATATTAAAAATAACCGTTTTTTTTTACGTTGGACTTATATGTATATCCATCTTCATTTATTCTACGAAATTAGATATGAGTCAAGTAGCCTAATAGCGTGGTACAGCGGCGGAATCTTGACTGGGAACACTTTCTTAGGCCAGGCGCGCACATGCGATTTTCGGTAGCACGATGATCGCGGAAAAATGTATTTACAATTTTTTGGGCGCGTACTTGCGATGAATTGGTCGTAACTACATTTAGTACCATTATGGATTTTACTCAAACTGCTTATATGGTTGCGTTGATATTACGAAATAAAGCCAAAACACGACGTAAAAAAGCATGTTGTGTTTTGCATAATTTCGTGCGGAAAAAAATGGTATACGAGTTAAGGATGAGTTATACGAGTCTCCTATGCAAACCTGTGATCCGACTGGAACACGGGCTAAGGGCTCCAACACACGAAGCTGCTGATCCATCAACAACTAGCCACTTCTCACACCGTGAGGTAAGCAACTAGTTCGTCGTGTGTCCTAAGTAGACGGAGGGAACCGAGGATGATCGCTTTCAGCATACTTCCGGCATGTGGTCTTAAAATCCGAAATTATTTTGCAAATTTCTTTACATCCGCAGAAGGCTCAAGACCGTGGTTATAAGATAAAATTTGAATTGTATTGTTTTATAACACCTGAGAATAATAAAGAAAATAAATAACATGAAAATACATTTCTTTTATTTTCTCGTTGAAGATAGTTCCATCCAATTCCTTACTACATTCTACATTCATACAAACTTGGCCCCGCAGTTTTTCCTTCAAATTCCGGTCACTAAACTCTTTCAGTTGCTTGTTGTAAACAGCACGTCTTTTTATCACCTCGGTAATTATTCTTTCTGTGTCCAAGACAGTATCTCGACGGTCATTCCTGGTGAACAATTCCATGTGACTTATTTTGATTTGCGATAATCGCGTCGCTTCCTGAATAGAACCGGTTGCATCTTTTTAGCCGCGGCGATTATTTAGTCGCATATTCGCGCATTTGTATTAAAAAACTGTGTTTCATTTTTGCGACTAAACGGTCGTTCGACCGAAAACACAAAATCTGTTTTTCGTCAATTTCTCAAGCATTTGTTTTGATCATTCTTATGTTTTTAGGTGAAAAACTAGCAAAAGAACTAAAGGCAGTAAAGTACGTGGAATGCTCTGCTTTAACACAAAAGGGTTTGAAAAATGTCTTTGATGAAGCTATATTGGCAGCTTTGGAGCCTCCAGAACCAGTGAAGCGCAAAAAATGTTTTATTTTGTAAATCACGTTCAACTCTACCTTTCCTCCTGTTATTTACGATTTTTCAACGTAGCATATTTATGGAAGTATTAACTGGAAAAGGCAAAATATCAAATGCAATCACTTTAAGCGTTTTGCGTTTTTTTCGTATACTACTTGAGGAACGGTCCATTTACGATTTAAGATTTGGAATTAAGAGTCTTTCTGTTTTGATTGCTTGAGGTAATTGATATTCTTCCATGTTTTGATTTAACATTTCAATAAGTTGAAGTAAGAAATAATACTAGGTAATAAAATGATTTGATTCCATTTTTTTTTGAGATATCAAATATTGCATTTCTTGTATTATCTGAACAAAGAATGTTTATATCATTATACAGTTTTAACATATGTTTTATTATTTCTTAATAATTAGGTGCATTTCGTATTTATTCTAGATAAAAAATACTGACATTTGTAGATAAGTGTAATCTCTTTGAAATGGATTTTAAGATTTTGTAATATATTTTTTATGCCGAATCGGTTTCCATTAATAATACTATTGAGTTTGCAGTTTGACCAAAACATAAAGAATAGTTATATCCATAGAGAATGAATTCCAAAGGGCCAGACTTTCCATGTATTCTGGAAATCCGCTTTCAACCTGTAGGTACTGCTAGAAAATTTTACTACACAATGTGATCTTCAAAAACAGAAATCGTTTACCATTTTTACATTGACAATAAATCCACGGATTTCTTCATGAATAGAGTTCATGGCCAAATTTCAAAAGTGTAAACATGAATTTGAAGTCAAATTAATCCATGAAGTTTTTTGTCGATTTCTTCACGAAATTAGAACTTGTTCTAATTTTTGCCAAGTTGGATATCACATTCCATGCTGCCAACCTTGTTTTCCTTTCCATTATATTGAACTACTTTTGAATTCAATTATAGAACTTTGATAGAACTACAGTATTCAGCGCTTTCTGTTTATGAGATTCGCCTCAAGATCAAAACCACAGTAGACATAAAAGCTCAAAATGTTTCTAGCATGAATTTGTTGTGTGGTTGGCTGCGCTGAGTGCTGACAGATAATCCATGAATTTTTTCATTGATAAAAACAGTGCAAAACATAATGAACACGTTCACGACTACGTGGTAAACCGGTGTTACATCGCCTATCTTGCCAAAAATCGTCATTGGTCACCGGTGGTACACTTCCAATTGATTATTTCACGCGCTACCAATCCTTACGGCTTATAGTAAGGAATTGTATTTTCGGCATACGATTATAGATATAGTAAGTATAATTGTGAATTTTATATTACATTTAATTAGATAAGTATAAAATCCATGATTTTATTTCTAAAACACACTGTCACAACCATATGAAGTAAGTAAACTAAGTAATTAGTGAAAAATAACGCAAAAATATTTTTCCTAACAGTACAAGTAAGCACTTATATATTTAGGTAGGTAACATAACTTCACTTATGGATTTCATTAAAACATTGAAGACATAGTTTCTTTTGGTCTTGACAATCTTTACAAGATGTAGAGACACGCTTGGCTTCATTTCTAGCCTCTTTGACACCCCTTGTGTTCTGAAGTTACCATTTCCCTCATAATGAAAAAAATAATCATCAAAGCCGTCGTGTACCACCGGTGGTACATATTGAAAAAGGTATTCAAAACTCAAAATAAGGCTCACTTACACATTTTCTAGAAATTATATTACAGACAATGTACATTTTCACTAAAAAAACGAAAAAAAGTATCGGCTACAGTCGTGTTTTACTCCATGCATTGTCGGCGTGAACGTGTTAAGATGTCCGTAAAGAAATTCATCTGAATAAATTCGTGAACAAATTGTTGACGTAAAATGGGCATTAGTGTATGTAAAGATCATTTTCACGCAAAGCTCTTGTAAATAGATAGGTAGGGCAAAAGTAATGTGATCATATGAATGTGCATACCTTTTTCAAACGACATGTTTCATTGTAATTTGGCATCTGTATTGTACTTAAATAATTGACTAAAACCATTGATTGTTCCACCTAAAGATAGCGAACCATATGCTGTATTGTGGCGTCCAAAGAGGGATCTGAAAGATACTGGCATCATCCATGAGACATCAGTAGAACACAAAAATGAATTTATTATAAAAAAAGTTACTGTTTAATAGACGACGGTAGGATCTCCAATCGCTTTTTAGCGCCTCTCTAATTTTGATTAATTTATTATACCTGAAGATACCCAAGTAAAATAGTGCCAAAACGGGATTGAAGATCCTAGTGCCATCCATCAGGCACTAGCAGAACCAAACATTAGTGTTTTTCAACGTCGATTCCTAAATATATGGCACTGGTATGTCGGATCCCCTTCTAGATGCTAGAATACAGTATATGGATGACTATATCTTTAGGCAGAATAGATTAACCAATGCCAATACTAAGCAGTGGAGCGATACTCGTGGTGGTGCCGCAGAAAGTGTGTCGGTACCATCTGCAAAACTGCCGTCGCTGTCCGATCATTCTCGAAACAGCTTGAAAGCTCTTTTGAGACTCTGCACTTCATGACAAGGATTCTGAAATAGCTTATTGATTCAAATAAAGACGTATTAAATGCTAGCCTTCTGCACCGCGGTTTTACCAGCGGAACATGTAGGTTACACGACTAATAAAGTAACCAAATATCACAGGCATGCAAGTTGGCTGTCACTTTACTAATGCCATCAAATATGCAATACGCGATCGCATAAAATGTTTATGTTACTAACAGTTTAAGGCGTACGAAGCGGCGCGGGTAACACCTGGTGCAATGTCTTATGACGGTATTGCTTGACAATCAGGTTGAATGGGGCGATGGTAGGCAGCGGTGTTGCCGGCTTGACGCTAACGAAGATTTTGGCAATTGCTGCGACACTTGAATATTGTCAAAGGTCATTGGAAAATCGAAGATGAGTTCGCCTATATATTTTTGGTCATATTCAGGCGCTAGTATGGATTCATTACGTAATTAACATTACCTAGAGCATAAAGGTGTATTTCTGCTGGTGTTTCAGATTTGTCTAAATTTCTGAGCTCATAAGACTTCAAAATATAAACTGATGGAAGAATGTAGTAATACTATTTATTACAAAAAATATACATTTACAAAATTGAGGTTTTCAGCTCAATTAACTAGAAAGTTTTTGCGTTCCAAGGGAGTCTCGGTAGCTCGGTGGTCAGCGCGTCAAGCTAGCAACCCGGGTGTCGCGGGTACGGATCTCTGCATCGGAAGTGAATTCCTTGCCTTAGAAGTTGTGTTTTCTATATCACACACACTGTGCAATATTAGCACACACACACACACATCTTATGCCTGGAGCTGTTTTATTGTATTAGCTACTAGGAGATAGCTGGTGGCTCGTGCAGTAGTAGTACAGTGTTGGTCCTACGAGGTCGGCAAAAAAGGTTTAATTAGAATTATATAATTGATTTAAGGTCTCACTTAATAGAATTACAATTAGGACAAAATGTGAGAGCTTTAAACAATCGAGAAAAAACAAACCGTTTAAAGAGTACTCGAGTATTCAAGGTTTTATTTTATATTTAATTTTTAGAGACGAAATTGTTCTGAACTGTAAAGGCAGTGGTAATGCTTTATTTTGTGTGGTTTCTATATAACTGGAAATGGTATCTAATCTTTACAACCGTATTTTGTAAAATGAAAGTTTTGCTAGATGCTGCTGAGCATTTTGCTATATACTATTGAACGTGCTAAAATAAATTACCCGCAAAGTATGGTTATCGAAGCATCTGCTAAGCTGCCTAAGGACATATAATTGTGTAGACAGTCTAGGATATAAATAATCAATGTGCGATGTCCATCAGTTTAGTCTTGTACTGAGTACCATTCCTAGAATGTTTACTGGTTCAGACTGCTCAATCCATCATAACTTGCTGGCTAAAAAATAATTGATAAATAAAACCATTGTAGGTATACTTGTGATATTTTTTATTTAAACAAAAAATAGTCTGCTCTGGTCTGATTGTGACGAAAAAACATTAGATTCAAAAATAGTTTAGAAAAACTTTGCAACTTAAATCTAACATTTCTACAAAAATACTGGTTCTTGAGTTAAAAATATGTACATCTTTCCCTTTCCCTTTTCCCCTATCACCTAACATAAACGGAATTTTCCAATAAATAGTTAAATTACGATCACAAAATTGCTATTATTCTTACACGCAGTCTATAGATGTTAGCTGAAATTTTCTCCCGCTTCACTTTCTTTAATAGCCTTCATAGCTTCATTGATCCTGTCATTTAGAATCTGCCTGATTTCCTTGATTGGCCTCAGTAGGATGATTGGTACATGATCATCCCTTCTCTGGAACAAAATGAAGAAATTGTGTTTTACTGTGATGATTTTGATCACCTGTAGGATAGTTTTAAAACTGTGGATAGTTGATTATACAGGGTGACTTCGAAGTTGAGTCATTTATTTTAACAGTGAGTAGATATGATCAAAAGAAATGTTTTTTTCCTTTACCATTTTCCTGGTAAAATTAAAGTAACAAAGTTATAGCCCTTTGGAAGTTTGAGTACCGGCCTGTCTCAATAATAGTATTGTGTGGTCGTGTTTGGCGACAACGGATATAATCCGCCGTATCGGTTCATCGCATCGGAAACAAAAAAGCGAAAGAATTTGGAACGGTGCTTTTTACAATTGTTTCATTCATTTGTATACAGTCAGTGTCAGTGAATAGTGGTATCTGTTGCGTGGCTCAAACGAAATAAAAAATGGCACATGTTTATGCGGATCGGTTTCCCAATCGAGTGCAACCAACCCCGCGTGCCTTTGTTAATGTAGTACAACGGGCTCGTGAATCAGGTGACTAAAGACCTCACAGGGGACCTCACGATCAAATACAGGTCCGCACTGAAATACTTGTCGGGAGGATACTTTATAAAACAAGGTAAAAAATGTTTGTTAATTTTTTTTAATTTTTACACACATATTTTGGTTTATCTTCCTTCTACAATCATTATCTGAAAATTAATGACTCAACTTCAAAGTATGTAATGCAAAGAGTGTGTATCTGTTTTTGGGAATCAAGCAAGTACATAAAATGGCCTGCAAGTTTTATAATGGAGAACTTACTATGTTAGAAATTCGTACTGCAATACAGCATGTTTATACCGGTTTTGTCTTACTTATCAAGACAACAACGCTCAGTTTTCAAATTTCCTAATATATATCGCAAATCTGTCGGATCATCAAATCATTTGAGAATCATTAATGAACAATTTACAAAAATGGATGAAAACAAATCAAAAAAGCGTTGAAGACTTCGTTCGTTCAAAAAGTCATTCGATTTTTATTAATTTTGTGCAAAATAACTACTCTGATTGAGATGAGTGACAACTTTCTTTACTAAAAGCATATTCGAATGTATTCTTCTTTATTGTTTCACGCAAACATATCTAAATCGCCTGGTCTATTAAGAATTCCTTTTGTCAATAAAGAAACAATCGCACACACCTCGTAGAAGTCACAATTGACAGTCTGAGAAGGCCGTCAAATCTGGGCCCATTTGAACTACTTGCGGAATATTCGCGCCTACTAGAACAAATTAGACCGCTGTGTTTTTGGACATGTTCGTCGCCGCCGCTTCGATTTTGTTTATTTGTGGTGAATAGATCATGGATGTCCAAACCGAAGTTTCGTAAAATATAGTAGGTTTGTATTTGTACTTACTTGGAATAAGCATTCACCTTCAAAGTCTACAAATTTGTATTTTCTAGCCCTTAGGAGAATACCAACAACTTTGTCCGAAATTGCTGTGTAGATCTGGAAAAGGAAACATTCGTAAGATTCAATTTATCACGAGGTATGTATGTTTAAATAGATCTATTATTTGAAAGTGCATATTATCCAACCAAAATATATACATCTCTCCTTCAATAATCATATTCCTCTGCCCTGATTAACAAAAAGTAATTCACAAGATAGTGTCGATACATTGGTCGATACTCACAGCAAACAATTCCCCAAAACTGATCACCATCCTAGGATCATCAGGTTTTTCTTTTTCAGAAAATAATCTTTCTCCACATTGATTTATGACATCACACAACTCCATCATTTCCCTGCTGACATGTATTGTTGCTTTGAAGGCTCTCAGCTCTGATAGTGATCCTTTTGGAGGCCTAAAAACAGAGTATTTAAATCAGTATTATTCAGTAACATGAGACTTTGGTCATACTTGAGAGAAAATTGTGAAAAAATATAAAGAATTTAGCTTTCGAACAATTCAATAAAGTCTAATTTCCTTTTAGCATGTTGGAAGATGAGGAATATTATAATTATTAATAATATAATAGTAATTTAATGAACGTGTGATTAAAAAAATTCCCAAAATAATCACCTCTCTGCATTCCCAACAAAAAGACTAAGTCTCAAGGTATTAGTTGTACAATGCATTGTTGCAAGGAGTACTGATACTTCATATATCTTGAAAGAGCTTTTGTGGAGATCACAAAACAATTTAATAGACAATTGAAAAACTGATTAACACACCCCCACAGCTGCATACCCTATAATTTCCTAGCAAGCAGCATTCCATAGGCAAATATAACGGAACTGATATACCTGAATATGTATCATAAAAATATGATACTCACTTTCCATAGTCTTCTCTAGATATATTTGGTTTTGCAAGAGATCCAGCTTTTTGGCCATTGGAGAAGGGGTTGACTGCCTGACCCTGTACATGCTTATCTGCTACTTTGTTGAATAACGCCACTTTAGACTTCAGTGGAGAGTCCTGGAGTAGAAAAATATACTTTATTTTTTTGAGATTTCCAGAGTATCTTTATAATAATAAAATATCATTTAAGTTATTATATATTGAATATTCAGTATTAATTGTGTGTTAAAATATACTCGAGTCCATTTCATTTGCCACACATGAGCAGGGGAAGTATTGTGATCATGAAAAGAAGTTACTTGATGTTTCGCTATAATATGAAAATCCATGTGATTTATTTCTGTTGATCTCGCTACCTATTGGCTCTTTCCTGTTCTCGGAATCGGCTGCACCGATTCTTATGAGTATCCAGTTTTTTTATGTTCTATATAGTTTTCTGATCATTTTTATCCGTTTTTGGGTAATTAAAAATCAGATGTATGTGTGGTGTGGGAAGTACCAAGTCAATCTACTGAAAACCATTTTTTCTCTAGTTATTTATCAGTCGTCTGTAGTAAGCTGAACGAAATGACCAAACACCTTGTTATAAGATTCAAAACTCATACACAATACCAACTCTGCAGTCTCCTTAGTATGGCATTCAAATTTCATCAGTAGTGATGGTAGTTTTTTATAACTTTGCGTCCGTGCCGAAAAAAAACGTCTACATAGAAAATATCACGTTTTTTAAAAAAATTATATCTTTCACTTATTTTTAATAGACGCAATTTCACATTTAATTACTAAATACCGCCTCGGTTGACATGAGCCTCGAATAAAACTGGACTCTAAAAATATATTTAGATCACGTCAACTGTTCGGACATTTTTGGCAATCGCGGACATTTAGCTTTGGCCTGTAGCCAAATATGTGCGAGATTTACTTAAAATAAGTAAACGCGATCTTGGCGTCATTTCTTAGCTGTTTATATTTTCTGCTTTCCGCACATGCCACCTTCGATAAGATGTTAATAACATGTTTTTCACTTTCTTTGACGTCTTTTGTTGATGATATGTATACTATTAGTAATCTTGAAAGTATTTGCCTGTTTAACTATGGCCACTGATTAATGGTGAATGAATGGTGGAGGATTTCGAAGCGGAACACAAGTGATTTAAATATACATTGTACAGTTTATTAATAATCCTACAAATTCAAAGATTCGTATTTGTCATGTAAGTCTGGATCTCATGTACCATGAAATATTCACCATATATGGTAACAGATGCGAATTCAGCAGGCTGTACGTACAAGTTTGGGCATTTGAATACGTCTAGATGCGGTACACCCTCAACCATATAAGAGTAAAATCTAAAAAATGCCTCATCTGCATTGGATTCTTGTTATTGACACTAGTGACAGTGATTGAAGTTAAAAAAAATCCAAATTCAAAAATAAGAAATCTGTTGGATATGATGAAGTATCTTGGCTAAATATTGTGCAGAGGAGTTCGCAGAACCTCTTTGTTACCTAATTAACAACTCTTTTGAGTATGGTATTTTTCATATCCAGTTAAAACTTGCAATTGTTAAAACTGTCTACAAAAAGGGTGACAAAATCTTATTTGGCCCATTAGTTTAGTACCGATATTTTCTAAACTTTTCGAGATTGGCATTTATAATGCGAAACATGAATAGATCACAACATGACTATCTTAAAGGTAAATAAGTAAAAACAGCTGTTTATGGCCTCGTTGATAAGATTCTGATTGGCTGGGAGACAGGAAGTATTTGTATGGTCACTGGATAGCCTAGACCAGTCAAACTAGAAAGATCCCGTTCTTGGGTGGATCCAGTCATACCTTGTTAATAGAAGACGGAGGTCTTTGTTCAAAAGAATGGAAACAGCTTTTTTCTAGAGGAGAGTCAGCTTCTTATGGGACACAGGGCAGTATCATCAATCCCCTTTTGTTTCTTTTTTATGTTTTTATGTGAACAATCAGGCTGAGGAGATACTCAATGTCAGGCCATATCTTGTGAACTTTGCGGATGACAAATATTTTCAAAGTGGGAGCAACACTATCTAAGCTTCTAGAAATATCCTCCGAACGTTTAATGGCAGCCAAAGAATGGTTTACTAAAAACAAATTGGCCCTCAATTTAGAAACATTTTATTTGTTTTCGCACAAAACCGAGTCAAAAAAATCCCAGATATGAGCTCAACCAATAACTAAAACTAAAATATTTTGGGGAGACAGCATTGTATCTGTCAGGGCTTTCAGAGCACAAAAAAATATCAGTGCGCACTATGCTATCTCTGCGAAATAGATAAACTTGCACAGGAAGGGCTAGCGAGCTGAATACTCTCACTGTGGCAGGTATTTATAATTTTGGGTGGCCCCTGTCTTTGTTTAGAAACAGAGAACAATTTAGGCACAGTAGCCTCAATTACCCTCGACACTGATTTACCGCAACGAAAAAAAAAACTACTTACTCGTGTATACATGTTTGAATAAAATACTGCATCACATAATTGTAGAAAATTAATATTTCTAAGAATAGCATAAGGAATATCATCACAGAATTGGAACCTTATACTATGCAAACATTTTTAGGTCACAACTTTTAACATGTTTCACATTCAATGTCGTATCATTATTTTATTTCATTGAGATGAACAGTGATCTGCTTCGTTTGTAAGTTTGTATTCTTCAATACCTATGCTCTTCCTATGTATATTTAGTACATATTTTAATTTTTTGTTATTACTATAAAGGGCTTGGTTACAGATTTTTGTGTACCGATGCCTAATTAGTCAATTGTTACAATGGATTACTTTTAATTGTTGTATACAATTTTATTAGTTAAAGGAAATTTGAATTTGCATGCAATTTTTTTCGGATGATGATGGACTTCAGTTGAATAAATATGAAGAATTGTCCTGCAACACATCGCCACCCAGACACCACTATCGCAAGTCAATGATTTCCGATTTTTGTCATAAATCTACGTATTTTGTCTATGAAAATATTGATAAAACAGCAAAAAAACACTATAAGAAAAATATTGGAACGTTACCTTATTCGAACGCCCAGTTGTTTTTATTTAACTTGACCTGTTAGTGATAGATATTTTAGTTAATGTAAATCTTAAACTGTATTTTGAACCAGCGGAAGTTGTAATAAAAGGACGAGTTGGGATTAGTTTGATTATTATTCACAAGTGCTCTTCAGGTACCATAGCGTCGGGACGCTTGTCCATCAGGGACCACGTCGCACATATCGACTTTAGGAGATATTTAGGGTTACATCTATGGAAGCATCTATGATGAGTGAAATATGTATAATTTGTGCGTAGAATTACTGGGGTTGGAGGCGTATAAATATACCAACGTCAAAAAATTGAGATATTATACTCTCCTCCACTCCCTGCAACCTCTAACCCCTACAATAATTTTTCCGAAAATGATCAGGAACGTTTGAAATGTCAAAAAACGGAGATCTATCGTTTTTTGGCCCTTTTCTCCGCGGCCTCTGGACCTTTTTTCAAAAACAACAAAGCTTTTGTGTCCTTGGCATAGTAGCTACATTGTGTAGAAAATTTCAACTAAATCCGAGCGATACTTATTCTCAAGTTATAAGATTAGCGGACAGACCGACAGGCAGACCGACGAAAATGAGCGACATGGTTTTTCCTGTACGGGCGAGAGAAGTAAAAATCACTTTGCTGAACGAGCCCAATATAAGGAAATATTTTACAAGCTCTGAAGTTGAACTTGGATTTGTAAAGTGCATCAATTTACAAAGCAATGATCATAGTGGTTATTTATGATGAGATATTTCAACCAAAGTCATAAGGCATTGCCCCACATATTTGTGATTATATTTAGAAGCTGAGATATTTTGCAAGGTCGCGTACCGCTGCGACGCTCCTGAACAGTAATTCGGCTATTCCACAAGGAATTGAACATTTCCGTTCTGATTATAATGTTGGCAGGATTTCAAAAATCCTCGTGCTGGAAGGAACGCTGAAAGGACATTTCCTTCGTTGTTCGCTTCTCTCAAAATAGCAATTCCGGTGCAAGGATATTGGACTAATCGAACTTTTTCAAGTTTTATATAGATTTTGACAAATCTTCAGGAATTCAAATAGAGGCAAAGTATGGGAAATGTTTCAATGACCAATTTTCGTTGGTTTGCTTTTCTATCGCCGTCTGACCGGCAATTCCTGACTCCTCCATAACTGGGAAAGTACATGGCTTTTTTGGAACTTTTGACACCAGGTCAAAGATTTTGAGAAGTTTAGAGTTTTCAGGAATTGATCCAGAGAAACGAGAGTAATTATTAAAATGCTCATAATCTGATCTATTTGACTAAGCTGTTAAAGAAAAATGGCGTCAAGTAGGTTGACTCTGTACTTTCTACTCAACGCTGTCACAAGTTCGTAAAGGATTATGTTAGGCACAAGTTGGGCCTACTGAGGAAAAAGTTAGCTACGAACAAGTTTTAAGGATAAATGTATGAGGACATCTATGATGAGTGAAATATGCATAATAGGTGCGTAGAATCACTGGAGTTGGAGGAGTATAAATATAATAACGTCAACAAATTGGAAGACACACACACC